GCAACATTTGTTGTAACTTTGGCAGTGATTTTCTTTAGAAATGGGCTGTGGTTATGAAATGTTTCCTACTGTATTTGTAGTTCAATCTCGTACCTCAAACGTCAATGTTAGATTCTAGAAAATTCTATTTTCAGTAACAAGTGTATACTCACAATGTATCTACATTACAGTGTCTTAATGTTCACGGTACCTATGATGTTTACCTCGATGCTTCAACAATGTGTCTAAATGTAAGTATCAAAATACAATGTGTCTAAATGTTTATCTTTAAAATATCAAAATACATTGTGTCTGAATGTTTACCTTTAAAATATCAAAATACAATGTGTCTAAATGTTTATCTTTAAAATATCAAAATACAATGAGTCTTAATGTAAGTATCAAAACACAATGTGTCTAAATGTTTACCTTTAAAATATCAAAATACAATGTGTCTGAATGTATACCTTTAAAATATCAAAATACATTGTCTGAATGTTTACCTTTAAAATATCAAAATACAATGTGTCTGAATGTTTACCTTTAAAATATCAAAATACATTGTGTCTGAATGTTTCCCTTTAAAGTATCAAAACACAATGTGTCTGAATGTTTCCCTTTAAAATATCAAAATACATTGTGTCTAAATGTTTCCCTTTAAAATATCAAAATACAATGTGTCTGAATGTTTCCCTTTAAAGTATCAAAACACAATGTGCCTGAATGTTTACCTTTAAAGTATCAAAATACAATGTGTCTGAATGTTTACCTTTAAAATATCAAAATACAATGTGTCTGAATGTTTACCTTTAAAATAGAAAATAACAATGTGTCTGAATGTTTACCTTTAAAATATCAAATAACAATGTGTCTGAATGTTTACCTTTAAAGTATCAAAACACAATAAGAAAACCACTTGTTGTGATCAGTTGTGATATTGACAGTACATAAACAGCTGATAAATGACAGGTTTGAACAATACACCTTCCTACATACAATCATCCAATCCATCTTCCTCTGGGCTAGTACGTTAAATCACTGTTTGGAAAACTCACCCAGGTGAAGCAGAGACTATCACCATACAACAGGGCCGTCTCTACATCAAATGATATCACGACCCCAATGATCAGGAGTAAAACATTTGAAGATTACACTGTATGGTCTTATTTATACCAGTAGTTCAAGAACGATAATAAATCTCAATTGATCGAAATTTTGACAAAAGAAAATAGAAAGAATATTGTAATGATGATAATCTTCTGTAAATATGATGTTGTAATAGAGGAGAGAAATACAAACATTTTCTTTTTTTTTCCTAACGAAACTGATTAAAATTTTATTGGTAAACAGCATATTAATAACAAATTATATTTAAATAAATTTGAAATGACAATAAATCTCTCACTTTTGATCAATTATGCGTAATTGGAAAACTGTTATATATGTTTGCATTTTTTTTTTCTATGCTTCAACAAAACAAAAAAATCAATTACCATTTTCTTCAAAGCCCACCATTTTTATTGCAACAAGGAAATTCGTTCATCATATACTTTATGTATGGCTGTTTTCTCTGTAGTTGTTGCTGATACATAGTTAAACACTGAAATACGTACAGTGACATATATCTTCAACATACTACTCGATCGCTATATTAACCGGCTGACTTTTCATGGAGATATCGCCTGAAAAACAAATATTTCATTTTTTCAAAATCCTCTTCCTTATACACTGTTATAACATCAATTGTTTGTGTTTCCCGTTGAAAAAGACAGGAAAGTAACTATTTTACATTTTATTCAAGCGTAAAACCATTGCTATTTGCCAAATCTTCCTTTTTTTCTATAGAGAAAGACTCTTTTTCACCCTCATTTTTCTTTCTTTTTGAAATTCTGACTAGAATTCCTATCCTCATGCTTTTTGCTGAAACTCAAAAACTTCAATTCACAGATGAGCCTATTCTCTGTTTTTATTTCTTTTTTTTTTGTCAAATAGGGGTAATTGTAAGTCCTTTTTAGGACATGTTTAGATTCTAGTTTCTCCCATGAAAATTTTGAAGATTTGCAAAGTGATGCTATAAACCTTTAACAAACTTAAGTCTTTAAAATATATAAACTGTGATTAAAATATCTGTGAAGAATTAAACATTTTCTTCATGCTTCCACGTCTGCTTTGATCTGTACATGTCACACCACTTCTATCTTTCAGGATTCCGAGCTGTCAGGGTTACTATCACCTAGAGGGAGACAACTCCTACTCGCCGCCTGACAATGTGATGGTTATTTCACTGAATATTTCAGATCGCTTCAGTCCTTGGGATGAGAGATAAGTAAAGCCATGATTTAGTGTGCTAATATGTCTGTTATTTCCTTACAAAACTGACAGGAGTTTAATAGTCTGTTGCACTTTGAAAGGAAAACTGACAGACATGGAAGAAAAAATTCAAACTTGCTAAATATGAATAAGCCCTCGGGGGGATTGTGAGAGAAATGAGCTGTGTTACAGTCGTCAGCGAAAGCATGGCTCGATGAAATACACTCCATTAGAAATAACACAAGATTTTGATTTGTATCTGGCCCCCAACATAAACCAGCATTGGGATAAGCCTGCGTACGTCTATTGCTCGGGACGGTCTTAACACCTTTCATCTCCATCTACGATCCGTCTTCGTAAATCTCGAGTCATCTTTTTGTTTTAAATGTATTAAGTAAATGCATTTTCAGACAATACCTTTTATAGTCTCCGTGTAACTGTATACATATATAGATTCTGGAGATGAAGAGTTGTGAAGGGCTTTTAGAGTCAACTTTGTTTGAAACACACATCAAAATGTATGTAATAGGTTTTTGACTCTGTATACTAGATGGATTAAGGGGAAACGTAAAAAAAAAAAATGAAATCTCACGAACGACACAGACAGCGTTAACACAAATCTAGACGTTTTCCAACAAATGAAAATGTTAATGATATCAGAATATCCCCCAAAAAATACAACGGTTAGGAAAGAAATGAAATAAAAGCTGTAACAAAATAGGCAAAACTTATAAGATAATTTGTTTCATAAAATAGGCTTCGGGGACAGATGTTCGAACCACTGATTTGGCTATTTGTGACGCGGCGTTAAAAGCTTTGAAGGGTTGTATTAACTTAATTGTAGCCATTATTTCTGTACCGAATCCGAACAGTACACAACAGAATGGATATATGTTGCTACCTCAAGCACTGGTCCTCTGTTCATCCAAACAGTTTAACTTTGTGTGATCCATACGTGTCATTACCTTCATATATACAAGTCTCATCGACATTCTCTTTACTCAATTACAAATGTAAATTATTTTGCATTCTTAATAATATGATCTAAAATTACCTAATATTTAAGGATTAACTTGAATATATTTTTCATGTTATGGAGATCGATATAACACAAAAAACCGGAGTGTACTCTAAATAAACCGCTTCACGGTTTATGATGAGAGTACACTCCGGTTTTTTGTGTTATAGCTCCATAACATGAAAAATATATTCAAGTTAAACCTTATAATTTAATCTACTATACACAATCCCTGTGGAAATCCACTTTTATTGATGGACTCTTTTCTCTCAAAAAATATTGCGCTGCTGTATCAGCCAATCAAAAGTGACGTTACAAACAGGGAAATCATTTTTTTACGTTATGGGCTGATAACATAAATGTTTAAGCCAATGAAAATGCTTGTTACAAGCAAGATTAAATTATTCAACTTTAGTTACAAATTGCCTGAAATTTAACTCTATTACTAACAAAATATATAAACTTGATTTATTTTACAGCAATTATGAAACAAGTCATTCCAACTTATATCAATCACTCTTGTTGGCCCTGATGTAATTAGCGCACAGGGGTCTTAATGTGGGAGGAAACCGGAGTATCCGGAGAAGGCCCACATGATATGCATATGGTTGGGCAGGTGAACCTATATACCTTTTCACATCCGATCAGGGAATCAAACTCTGGCCGCCTTGGTGATAGGCAAGTGCACTATTCACTGGGCCACCCCATGCCACCACCCCATAAATTACTAACAAACAGCAGTTTTTAAATTACGATTTACCTGACAAAAAGATTTCAGCCATTAACAAGCAATAATACTTCAAGCAGAACAGTGACAAGTCAGCTAGATTTGTATCTCCTATAAGCCGAAACCACAGCAATTCTCTTCTGTTTTGTTATATATGTACATGTACTATGTGTCAAGTAGCTGCATTTACAGCATTACAAGTGTAATCCAAATTAGCGATGCAGAAAATATAGGTGAAAATAGTAGTCATGTTTAGCCAACTTTTTTATAATACAGGTATTAAGCAACCATAAGTTTTCGTATCAATTATTGCATACTGTATTCACTTAATAAGTGCCCTAGGTAAATTGCATTTATGTAAAATTGATATGATTACAAAACCGTCCAAAATTGAAGAAAAAAAATAAAGAAAAAAACATAATTGTTGCTTTTTTCAACTAGCATAAGTATAAATCATGTCGAAAGAATAGGTGTATGTTTAACCCTTTCACCCCTATGCAATTTTAGTAGACTCTCCCACCCATTGATCTGGACGAGTCCATTATGGTCTACAGTGGTGAAAGGGACAATTAAGTGATGGGGCACATATATTTGGTATGCTATGGTCACAAAATAGCAAACATATACTTAATGAATGAATTATTCAAGACTTTATTGTTAATGAAATCTAATCATTAATTGAAACAATGACGAGTCATTAGTAATGATTAATGTCAAAAATCACCAATCACACGGGAAAGACATAGTGTGTTATATGACTCCATGCAACTTTTGCATCCTCAAAAGTCGTAGGATATTTTTTTTATATAATTTTTAAATAAAATGTTGATCAGAACTTTAAATATGAAAATAAAGCGTTGATCAGAAGTAGATTTTTACAAAGTAATCGAAAATATAATTACGTTACTTATTTTTATAAAACTTCTGCCGTGAAGAAAGATCGTAAGCACAAGTTGTCATGGTTACCTGTCTCCATCATCTGTATCTTCCCAAGAAAACTTGATCCTTGTTCAGCTATATTCTGTGACATGTAAGAATCCAGGAGTGAACACTCAGAGAAAATTATATATAACATATATCCTGTTCCAAATAGCACACTGGATTATTAATTTCCTTTTTTTTCTCTCTCCAGGAAATCTTCCCTTGGGAAACAGTTAATGATTTGGCATCACACACACATGTTATATACTCTGGTCAATATCCTATGTACCTAACGATCAGATGTCTTACCACAAAAAAAATGTATTCTCCAGATAAAAATATCAAACTAGATTCTTATAACTGAAATTTAGAGTTTTATAAGATATGGTAAATTTTATCGCTGTACAAACCGTCATTTGAATGGCTGACAGTGAAAATTAAGAACTATCCCGATTTGTTACACCTTTAGCCCACACCAATGTATTTTTGTACCCTGTTTGGCACGTAAATAACTTCCCACCGATCAAATGTCTTTACTTTAAATTAGTGACACCTTTCATATTATTTTTTTCTTTCTAAATCTACTTCCGATTAATTCCAAATCCTATTGTTATATCAGTAAATATTTTCCTGACAGACTTTCCAGGTACACCACATCTAAAATAACTGTTTTATGGTTTGTCAGTACTTCAACAGTTTCCTCACATGACCCTCTACTATATATAAGTAGCACGAACAACTAATGTTCTAGCTAGTCCGTCGACATCCTGTGGTATTATTATATCACTGTACCCTAATCACCTCCCGCTGTTTATGACTTAAGATGTCACTGACCATTAATACCAGGGTATATTATATTTACTCCAAGCCTTGATAGTCCTTATACACACATACAGGTGGAAATTACTATAAAACCATCAGTATATATCTGTGTACAAATAAACATGGGCGCAAACACAGGTAAAATGACAGGTAAGTATACACGCACACCTGTGAGAGCCTTACTAACGAGATTACCATCAAAATTTTTACAGGTATGCAGCAGGTATTCCCTTTGGGGTATAGTATCTGTTTATGTGACTCTAATCACTCAGCTACAGGTTGAACTGACAGCTTCAAAGTTTGAAACGCATGTCACAGGTACAGTCTGTTTTAAGGTACATTAAACACACACACATCTATTTTGCTAGAATTATAAAGATAGATATACCAGCAATTAAATCATGAAGACTCTATATTTTATCACATAATGTACTGCATTATCCAGTGAATATACATACCCATGTCATATTTATTTTGCATTTTAACCCTTGTAATATGACCTATTACCCCTCTGATTGGTTGTAAGTTTCAATTGTTTCAATTGTGACGTCACGCCTAGGACAAGTACATGACGCCACAGACTTATACACGCTGGAGTCAAAAATGGCGGCTTTTTACATTTTAAGGTTGCATGAAAATTGTCATTTTACGCGAATAAATGCCACTGATCTTGATTATGTGGTAAAAAGGATCCTACACACGTTTTCATTTCATATAAAATTTATGACACTCCTCATGATTTGTTTAGTTTAGCTCGCCAGAAGCTCGCTAAATTGAAATGAATCTTAGCCTCGTTTCATAAATCTCATATGAAATGGAAACTCATGTAAGATCCTATATACATGTATATATGTTTTTTTTCAGACGTACACTCATTTGGTCCCATCATCCATAGACAAGTAAAATATTATATTAACATTTCTCCCTTCTTCAGCTTAGCAAACTCTGGCTGAGTATAAATTAGTTAAACTTGTTTCAAATATGGTGCCGTTCACGCTTCAGCGAGATAACTGCTCGATGACTGCAGCCATTGTTCGGTTCCTTCAACATCTAGAAACATGGACCATATTTGGGATCCATTGTGTCTGATTATACAACAAAGGGATGCTGGCAAACTTCTTATTCCATGGATGCACATTATAATCTTAGCAACCCGCTTCAACGTCTGTTTGTTTTTTTAAAAAAATTGTACGTAAACATAAGGATTGACCTTCCTTTTGATGGCATATATGGTAGTATAAACGCAGTTGGCAACTAACATATTCTATGGTGTGTGTTAAAATATGTTCGTTGCCAACTGAATTCATACTACCGTATACGCCGTCTGAAAATGAAGGTCAATCCTTATATAACAGATCAAGTGGACTCTTTGTACAGGTTATTTCAGTCATGTGGTCCTTCATGAGATTTAGTCACACAATGGTTGGGATTACCGTAAATGACAGGCAATTGCTGTGTAGGTGACCCCCTAGACATGGTTGTGACCATTATAAATATACACACGTCTCAAATCATGGAAAATGTATCTCATGGCAAAGGTTGTATTTCTTGACTCTTAAAGAGCAAACACTTTGACGGAAATCATACAGAACCAAATTCAAAATTGTCAGCGTCCATTATCAACAGGTGTCATTTAGAAGTAGGTACCTGCTGAGAAAGATTTCACAATATGCACCTGCACACATACATATTTCAGGTAGATGACCACGACACAAGGACATTCATCACAGGAGATTTTGACGAGAAGACATCAACTGCACAGAAATAAATGAGAGTTAACATTTGGTTGTATGACCAATACCATAGGGCTCCCCTTATTAGCCATATATATTCTCATTTGTTTTGGATTTATTTAACCTTTCAGCAAGAGGTTAAAGTTGAGCTATATACATTTCACAGCACACCTTCTGTGGGTGACGCACACATATTTTATTAATTAAGTTCCATTAAGATATCCTTAATGGTTTAAAAGTTATGGTCTAGACAATATTTTACTTTTTACTTGAAATTTTGCACTCATTAGACTATTGACCTATTTTCTGCGCACAGCATACCTGTTGTGCAGGTGCACGTGTATACGGTAAGCTTCCTTAACCCATTCACCCCTAAAATCACATTTGAACCTTACCAAATCCCAGACTGGGCAAGTACAGTTAAAATATGTAGGGGTGAATGAGTTAAGCACCTTTAACACTTTAAATGTTATGGTCTAATGTTATGGTCTAAAGACAACTTGTTAAGAAGAATACCTGAAAGAAGAATCAGAAGACCCAGTACTAATATTGTTAACACAAGGACGTTTTTGGGAGATCACCAGATAGGCCATTTACTGTACAGAAATAAAGATGGTCACCACACAATCACATTTACCACAGAGATGTATGGTCCAGGCTAAGCCATGGATCATCCCAACAGAAGCCCTCCTCCCACCAGTCACCATATCAAAGCCTTAATTTCCCTGATTCATTATCCAGATATAAAGACATGGAGGACAGAAGGCTGAGCCACATAACGAACATTTGATCATGCATGACCAATGCTCATTTCTCCCTCCCTATCACGGCTGGGCAAGCACTTACAAGTGGCTATGGCTACAGGGCAGATCACCTATATATATATATATATCAACAACCTGTCTAAACTGACTAGATCTAGAAGGAACTAATCACCCCTGTATACTGAAAACCTGTCCAAACTGACCAGGTCTAGAAGAAATAAATCACCTCTGTATACAGAAAACATGTCTAAATTGACCAGGTCTTAGAGGAAACTAATCACCTCTGTATATTGAAAACCTGTCTAAACTGACCAGGTCATAAGAAGAACAAATCAATTTGAAACAATGATGTCTCTTTAATGAACAGATCATTTGAGGTACATGTCACCTCTAAGGGTAGATCTAATATACTGACAACCTCTCTTAACTGACCAAGTTAATGAACATACTACCTTTGTATACTAAAAACTTATCCAGCTGTGACCAAATCATCAGAATAACAGTTAATATCTGTATATTAACTGGGAGGTGGGCCTATTACCAGGCATGGGCTTATTACTGGTAAAAGATTGTAACAACCTCTTTATAGTGACCAGACTATAGTGGATAAAGAGTTTATTCTAAATTGATCATATCAGTGAAGGAATAGGTTATTTCTGTATACCAACAACCTCTCTATAGCGACAAGATCAATGGAGGAATGTGTCACCTCTGTATACCAACAACCTCTATAAAACGACTAAATCAATAAAGGGGAATGTCACCTCTGTATACCTACAACCTCTATATTAAGACTTTATCAAATGGTGGACCATGTCACCTCTATATCAACAATCTCTCTATAGCAACTAAATCAATGGAGGAATATTCACCTTTGTACTCAAACAACCTTGCTATAGCAACTAGATCAACAGAGGAATATTCACCTCTGTATACCAACAACCTCTCTATATCAATGATCAGTGGAGGAACATGTCACCTCTGTATACCAACAACCTCTCTATAACAACAAGATCAATAGAGGAATATTCACCTCTGTATACCAACAACCTCTCTATAGTGACAATAAGTGGAGGAACATGTCACCTCTGTATACCAACAACCTCTCTATAACAACAAGATCAATAGAGGAATATTCACCTCTGTATACCAACAACCTCTCTATAGCAACTAAATCAATGGAGAAACATTCACCTCTGTATACCAAAAACCTCTCTATAGCAACAAGATCAATGGAGGAACATTCACCTCTGTATGCCAACAACCTCTTTATTTTGACGACAGACCAAACTGCTTTAATGAAAGGACTAAAATGATAAAGGTTTACATAGGAAATCTATGGACAATAATTTACATTCAAAATCAGTGTTTATTTACCATAGCAAGGCCACACTGCCAACGCATTTCTCCTTTTTACATTCAAATCATTTGCATTTCAGAAGATAAAAATCTGTTGACTAGTATATATATGGCATCAAAAACAAATAACGTGAAAGTATTTTACGCGAACGGCTACACTGGTAGTCATCAATCCGACTAATAATGTACAAATTCCAACACTTTTTTTACCCTGCAGCCATCAAGTACTTAAAGACTCCACTTTGTACAATATTCCCTCAGGTAAAACAATCACTTCACCAGGTAAGAATTATCTTTACTATCACGCCATTTCACCACTTGTGAAACAAATAAGATCTGAAGACAACGATTCAGTGAGTACAGATCGTGATAATCTACATAGGCTGGTGATAATTATCTACAATTCTATAGCATATAAGTATTGTAATAACTGATTTATATATGTCATGTTGTATGATATAAAACATAATGGTTCTTAAGTATATTTATAATGGTAAATACAAACTGATTATCTTTATAGTATACAACTCTGATTTTTAGTGACATTGAATAATTATTCCCTAACAAATTGATTCTTCCCGAACTTCTCACATCCATTATAAATGAACCTATCTCCATCTCACTTACTAATCCAATAGTTAATCCTTTCTTTGGTCTCCACCACACTTACTAATTTAATTATTAATCTTTATCTAGGTATCCCACCACACTTATTAAGTATAGTTAATCCTTCCCAAGGTCTCCCATCTCACTTACTAATCCAATAGTTAATCCTTCCCAAGGTCTCTCATCTCACTTACTTATCCAATAGTTAATCCTTCCCAAGGTCTCCCATCTCATTTACTAATCCAATAGTTAATCCTTCCCAAGGTCTCCCATCTCACTTACTAATCCAATAGTTAATCCTTCCCAAGGTCTCCCCTCTCACTTACTAACCCACTAGTTAATCCTTTCCTTGGTCTACCACCTCACTTACTAATCCAAAATTCAATCTTTCCCAAGCTTTCTTCATTTGTTGGCATTTTAATGCCAGGCCTTTCTTTTGTCTTTAATTTATCTGTTCTCAAACAAGTATTTCTTTTTAGAACTATAGAGTTGAAAAAAAAGTAATCTAGCTATCATTGTTTAAAATTCTTGCATGCACAAAACCAGATAATCACACTGGCTATTTCGTTTCTCTCTGAACAAAAAACAACACAATTTAGTGTGTTTAGGGAAATGTGATTTAACCCTTCCACCCCTAGGTAACTTGAGTAGACTCTACCA